TTGTGCTTTGAATCATTTTGTGCAAAAGTTGTGCACGCGAATCTCGGCCGTCTACAGTTCAGCACGGGGCAGTTGCCTCTCTCCAATGTTCCTCAGACTGATCTTACATAAAAAGGCAATTACAGCCCGAAACCTCTCGGCATTTATCCACACGTGTGCGTAAGCACTTGGTTAGTGATAGGACCTCTCACATTTTCAGATATTTACAGTATTCTCAACAATGTCGCACTCTATATTCTGATGAATGTTTTAGCATCTTAGATCACGATTTCAGATCTAAGAAGCTATTCACGTTCAATGCAACCTACACGTCAACGTTATCACATTGATTTAAAACTTTCCATGTAGATGTTTTCTGGCCGGGAGATGACAAAAGGCGGAGCCCTACTCCATGGAGTACCATCTAGAGTACCTGGATGGAGTACCCCTAAAAATCATGTATTAGTCAAATAAAATACTTCATGAACATGGTGAATCGTTTAGATGTACATGTCCTGATATATTTTGAGCTTGTCAGCTCTCCGATTGTCGCAGTTCGATGTAGTACACGAATTGACCGCCATCTTGAAATTAACATTAAACTTCTGACCAATTCCAACGGAAAGCTTTAATGTAGCTAGCATCCATGAACGTTATCGTTAAAAGGCCGACTACCTCCTATTTCATATGATCTTCAAGAGGCCAAAAGGACGGACAACCTTCATTCTGCAACGGGTTTTACGTCTTCCAAAATACTTGTTTATGCGTGGCGTCTGTAAGAAGTGTGGCACTCCATCCAATAACACATGGCCTCATGGGTTTCTTAATTGTGCGAAATGATGAGGATACAAGCTTACATTTGTAGGTTGAGACTTAAAAAGGTAATCGATATCTTTAAACTGAGCTTCTCCTCACCCATCTATTTGCAGCGCAATAATTGAGGTATGTAAACAAACCAAAAAAAAAAAACAAAACAACAGTGACGGCTCGACAAGTAAATCCGACTGGGGTTGTTGATCTGGGAAATGCAGTAAGCTTAAATATTTTACCTCGTGCCGAAATCGAAACAGTGGGTTTTGTCCATCGCATGGAGTTGTTAATTTTTTGTCTTCTCGTCGAAGGACTCATTACACAGCTGTAAAACCAAAATGGAGGAACCAGTAAGACTGAGAGCCCTAGTCAACTGTCCCCCTAAGAGCTGGATTGTATCGAACTGTGACATTCGGAGAGCTGGTAAGCTCAATATATTTTAGGATATGTACATCTAAACGATTCACCATGTTCATAAAATATTTTATTTGACCAATACATGACTTTTAGGGGTGCTCCGTTAGGGTACTCCATAGGGTACTCCATAGGGTAGTCCATTAGGGTACTCCATTGGGTACTCCATGGGGTACTCCATTAGGGTACTCCATAGCGTACTCCATAGGGTACTCCATTAGGGTACTCCATAGGGTACTCCATGGAGTAGGGCTCCGCGTTTTGTCATCTCCGGTTTTGTCCTCTGTTTCTATTGTTGTTCTGTCCCATGAGTAGTTTGTTAGACACTTTGAATTCAACTTCGTACTTTGTATGTATCAGTACTGAAGATGACAGAAAAACTTTCAAAACATGTTTTTATTTCTTTCTTTTTTTTTTTAATTATATTTTCTAAAAGCCAAAAATTTCCTTAAAAAGGCCTGTAAAAAAAATGGTTATGTCACTCGTCTAGAGTGCCGGTAGAGCCCAGTTTTCCAGCCTGATTGCTACGCACGACCCACGCATATTTGTAATCACGCATTATCACTCCTAAACCTTAAATTTAATTTATTATTCATTCAATACATCAATTTAAACCTGATGTTTGGTTATCCAACTGTTTTAAATAATTAATGTAACCTAGAGACAACCTCTTCGGACACCTTAAGGCTAAACTGTCTATTAATTTTTTTTTGAACTCTGATGCTTTAAGAACTATGTCGCATGATAAAATTACCAAAGAAATGATATACTATGGAGATTTTTTACCAGAAATCCGAGAAATTGTGTTTACATTAGCTTCATTCACCCGTACTTTCGACAGATGTTAAATGACGTAGTGGATCGTGCTGGTTTCTGTTGTAAGTCGTTGCCAGGAAACAGATCGACTGCTTTGCTTTATGGGAAGCAGCATTTTGCACGAGAGACAACAAATTTGCAAAGAACACGAGCATTGAAAATTTTAAATGAAGTCGCCTGCTTTTATCATTGAAGTCATTTATTTCCTGTGAACGGCTGTATCTTGTTGAATGATCGAAGCATTTTTCAGTGGCAAAATCAGGAGACTGAATGTCTCGTAAATGATCCTTTAAAAGCAAGTGTTAGGCCTGTTTACAATCTTCGTTGCCTGAGACGAGAGACAGGGAAGAACACAGAATGCGAGTAGCTGTGTTTACTTAGATTTCTACAAGAAGGAACCCGATCTTGGATTTTTCTGTTGTAATTTGGAAATATTAGCGAGATAACAGTTTTGGCTCGCTTGGATGGCGGATTTGAGGCCGTGCATATGCGGGACAAGAGATGAAAACATGTGAACAAGCTGCTTTATAGTATTGAAAGCGATTTCCGACGAGATATTGTTCTTATTTGTGTTTTGTAAAGAGCGTAAATTTTGGCAAAGATGAAACGCTACCAAAACTTAAAGACGCTCGGGGATGGAACTTATGGATCAGTTATATTAGCAAGAAATCACGACACAGGAGAGACAGTTGCAATCAAAATGTAAGCTCAGATGTTTTATCCGTCCATTGCCTTCAATTCATACTTGTACGATGGGGGATTATTAAAATTTTAACACTTTGCCATTTTGTTAATTGGCTTCCGTAAAACAAATTGTTGTTTTAATTTTGCAGAATGAAAAAGAAGTACTATTCGTGGGAAGAATGTATAAATCTCCGCGAAGTTAAGGTAGGTTTATTATTTAGACCTACTGCATTTGGAAATATATTTATGAAGTCTAAGTTTCAACGGGTCACCTTGTGCCGTGATAAGCAGAGGAGGTTAGCCATATTTTTCCGGGTGTGAAATTTATAATCAGACGCATCAGGTATATTGTATGTAGTCTTTGGTTAACTGTGAAAAAAAAGAAAAATTCCCAAGCCTTTAGAATGCACAGCTTATAGCAAGGGATAATCTGTTAGTAATTAAGAGATTATCATTTACACCTAAAGATTGTCTGTGACTTTAATGATAAATTTTATATGCCTATACTAGTGTGTAGCCTACCCAAATCTTAGTTCGCCTGTTCTCAATAAATTAAATCGAAAAATATCTCGGTATAACCCCATACCATTTTTAAACGAAGCATTACTCCCAAAGGCGAACTACTTTTTTACGCAATGGTTTTCTTCATCAACAACTGTATGGTTAATGAAGCAGATATGTGCAGAAGTCTTGCCTTCAATTGTCTGACCAAAGAAATAACCCCAATCTAGTTGACTGAAGTTCAATTCTTGTTTAAAAAAATGAAAAAACAGTTTCTGAATAATGATGACCAAGCCCCTGTTCTATAACTAAGCAATGTTTGCTCAAAGAAGAGAGAATTTTGGTGTAAGTGTCTCAAAAATTACTATATTTGTGGTGACATGAAGTTTTGGGATTTTCATCACGCAAAATTAACACATTTGATCTGAGCTGCAGAAATGATTAAATTTACTAGGCACTGTCTTTAATAATTCACTCTAAACAAATGCATAGTAAGGCAATGATTTCAAACCGGTGAATGAGTAATTTCTTGACGAGTGTAAAGCAGAAGCAAAGAAATAAATGCCACCAAAAGATAATGGAGTTTCTGTTATAATCTCTTAAGTAGTTGAACTGTTTCCTTGAAATTGTTTTGGTATCATAGGAATTAATAATAGCACCATTGCTTACAAAGGATAATGTTTTGCTAAGACTGGATGTCATAGTCTGCCAAGAGTCTTAACTAGAGAGAAATTCCATTTTACAATAGAAACTGACAATCAAGTTATTGATTACCGTTTTGAAATCTTGCTAGTCTGCAATGCTAAAAGATTCATTATGGAATGATAACATTAATGAGCCAAATTATGTAGAAATACAAGTATAATATCATGTAAAAGCAAAGATGTGGTCACAAAGACAAGAAAAAGAGACACACTTTTGCTTTATTCTGTTCACTCTAAAATTGGTGCTTACATTAGATCTGGAGTAACATACTGGTAAAGTTGGATTATTTTTGTTATAATTTTTCAGACTGTGATTACTGGTATTGTAATAAATTTATATTTTCATGAAAAAAGGTAGAAAAGGGAAAAAGACTCATGCTTGATGTGAAAAGTTTTGCTTTTGTTGAATTTCCAATGAATGGTACTCATTATCAATTTATACTTTCTTTTTCTAGTCTCTAAAGAAGTTAAACCATGCAAATGTGGTGAAGCTAAAGGAAGTTATCAGAGAAAATGACCAGTTATATTTTGTGTTTGAGTACATGAAGGAAAATCTATATCAGATGATGAAAAGCAGGTAAAATATAATGATATATATCATTCATGAAACTTGACATTAACACTTCACTCCAAGTAGTGACCAAGACATACCCTCTCCTCACAATATTTATATAATATCAAGCAGACAAGTGGTGAGAATGTAGAAAAATATCAGTTATGGGATTATCATTTGATCCAATACCAGATTCTCGGAAGTAAAATTATGAGCACTGTATGGCAGACAGTATGGAGAAATCTTAAAAAGATCTTGAGAGCAAAGGGCTTGAGTGGAAACTTACCCATTGGGATGCTTACTACATTTTAAAGTTTTGTTGTTTCATTTGCGAATACAATTTTTTTCAGGGACAAATTGATTCCAGAATCTATGATTAGGAATATTATTTATCAAGTTCTTCAAGGCCTCGCCTTTATACACAAACACGGTAAGTTTATGGCTATCAAGGGTTAGGGATGAAATGCGTCTTTTGTTTGGTACAAATTTTGCATCACTTGAAGATGTGTAAGGAAGATATGTGTAAAAGTCATGTGACACATCCAAGTTGTTCCTGAGTACTTGTTAGGGTCAGTCTTGACTTGACCCTTAAACTCCTGTGAGTGACCAAGATAGATTTTCTCCTTACAATAGCAATACAAATCATACAGACAAGTCATGAGAATCGAAAAAAAAATCAGTAAGGGGATTATTAGTTGATCCATTTTGATTGGATGGTTGATTTCTTTCTTTCTCTTTCTCTTTTTCTTTTCTTTTGTTTCTTTTCTTTTTTCTTTTCTTTTTTTTTTCTCCTCTTTTTCTCTTTTATTATAAATTCTAAACATATTATAATATCGCACTGTATCAATAAGTCTAGTATTCATTCTATATATTTATATTAAGAACTATACTCTTAATAGCCTAATTTATTATTACCTCACACTTGTATCTTGGACCTCTCTATTTACTTAAAAGGGACAGTAACCAACACAAAAGCTACGGCTACTTTGGTCACTGTGCACACATATACAAACCTGCATGATGTCTACTTCTCATTACCTTCTTCATCTTGTTATATAAGTCATCTTATACTGTTAGTATCAGTTTGAATAGTGCGAAATAAACTTGGACTTGGAATCCAATACCCATTTTTTGAACTTACATCTCAAGAATTGTAGGACAGATGGTTAGGAGAAAAACTAATAAGGTCTGGGAGTGAAAGGTCTTTTATTTTGCGACTTGTTTTAAATTTCCATTCAAAGACATACACGGAACAAAAACTAAGACCTTGATCAGAAGGTGCAGAGCAAAACTTTCAAAATTAAAAGAAAAGATTGATGAGATGTAATTGATTGAGATCCATGTTGTGTTGAATTGTACAGGATTCTTTCATCGAGACATGAAACCTGAAAACTTGCTGTGTACAGGACCAGAGCTTGTAAAGATTGCTGATTTTGGCCTTGCCAGAGAAATCCGATCCCGTCCCCCATATACAGATTATGTCTCCACTAGATGGTAAGAGTTACAGGAACTGTTGCTATTACCAGTAATTTTTTTTAATGGTGTTGAGTTGAGAGAGACAATTTTCAAGATTCTGAATTCTTTCGCAATTGAGCTAGTATTCTTAGCTCTTGTTTTAGGGATGGTTACCACACGCTTTTTTTTGGAAAAAAAAAAAAAAATAGACCAAAAAATCCCCATGATGGTTGTAGGCAATGTCATAAAAGGTTCAGTAAAAGCTGAACAGCCCTCCAAGATGCAAAATTATTTTATATACTTTTTTATATACTTTTTACACTGTCTATTGTTTGCATAGTATTTGTGTATTTCTCATAAGGGTGCACTTAAATTTGGAGCCTAGCTCTGTTGTGTGTCCCGCACCCTTGTCCTCCGTTCTCTTCTGTGTCTTGTTCATATGTATATTTTAGTCCTTTTAGTATTGTAAGTATGGTGAAAGCGATTAAATAAAAAATGCTTATTGACTGAGTTGGGTTAGTCTAACCAGGAAAATGTTTGGCTCTCAGTCAAGACGCACAGACCTCACTGTACCCAGCCAGTATATTACAACCTTAAGCCAAATATTTTCCCATCTTGCCCTCCCAATCAGCCAATAAGTTCATATTTTTACCCATCTTCAATTTTGATTATTAAGATTTTGTAAGGACCTTTATATTTTTTTATTCGACAGGTATCGTGCACCTGAAGTGTTGTTACGTTCAACAAATTACAGTTCACCAATTGATATGTGGGCCGTGGGGTGTATCATGGCAGAGCTGTACACTCTCCGGCCTCTTTTTCCTGGCAGTAGTGAAGTGGATGAGATTTTTAAGATATGCAAAGTTCTTGGCACACCATCAAAAGTTAGTTTTCACACACTTTTTACATGCACATTAAAAGACTGTTCACAGCTTTAAACCATTGGCCCAACAATTATTGTGCCACACACTGAGCAAACAGATGGCAAATTTAAATGAAGGAAGCTGACAGGATTATTTATTAAATTATCTAAATTTACTGTCAATGATGCATATTGGCAATGTGCATCCTGCTCAAGTAGCGATATTTAAGAAGCGGACAGTTTTCTTTCTTTGATAATAGTTCAGGGTGTCTGTTAAATACCTTTTATTGTTAATTGCAATTTATGACAAATAACTTCATCGTGAGAAAAATTTTACTGACCACTTTTGAAAAAAATCTGTCGTTGCTTTGCCTTAATTCAGGTGTTTGACATCGTAAAATGTAAATAAACTGCAGGTTATTGAGGGTTTGGGAAGCATGCTGTTGAAATTTCAACGGGAACACCAAAAAAACCCTCCTTGCCAAATAAAACATGTCATCCTTTTTTTTTGTATGTTGTCTACATAGTTTTATTTTACACCTCTTTGAGCATTTCCAAAGTTTACTTTGGCTAGTAATTGTTTCAGTTCTTATGATAATAATATTTATTATTCTTTCTTAAATTGTCTTTATCAGGAAGACTGGCCAGAAGGTCACAAGTTGGCATCAGCTATGAATTTCAAGTTTATGCAAGTGGTTAGTTTTTGTTTGTTTTTTCTTTTTGCATAAATAATTTCTCCAGTAATTCTGATATCTGTTTGGTTGTACAAGGACCTTTCTTCAATTGTGGGGAGAATGCTCTCTGCTATTTTAAAAATTCCTAATATAGAGAGCGCTATTTATGCAATAGCGAAAATCAGACCTGAAAAAAATCAGGCCTGTACGGGATTCGAACCACTGACCTCTGTGATACCAGTGCAGTGCTCTACCAATTGAGCTAACAAGCCAACTGGGAGCAGGCCGTTAAGTTGATTCGTAATTCTAATACCGCAGTTCAAAATATATGAACTTCATATCTACATGGTATAAAGAAAAATGTGCAACATTTCCCTTGAGAGTGGGACAGCATAAAAATGTGAGTCCCCATAAGAATTTATGGTGGAAAACTTATTGGTGAGTAACAGCATAAGAGGTTGTTTCCCAAAATTGAAAGGGTTTCAATTGTAGGCTGGTTGTTAGTTTCAAATACCATCTTCAACAGCAACTTTACATATTAGCTAGTCCAAAGTTCAAGTATATAATGGGAATATGATTTTAAAGCTTCAGTGGACAAACAAGTGTGACATCAGGCAATACTCATTGGTGAATAAAGGCTGATAGTTTCTAAAGAAACTTTTAGGGGCTGAATCGGTGGGGGTAACGAAATAATTTGGATATATCAACAAAGTTGAAATGGTAAATTGGCCACCGTAATGATTACAAAAGCTGACGTTTCGATTGTTAGCCCTTTGTTGGAGCGAAAATGTCGTTTGCTCCGACGAAGGGCTAACGCTCGAAACGTCAGCTTTTGTAATCGTTACGGTGGGCAATTTACCCTTTCAACTTTGTTGATATATCCAAATTAATACTCATTAGTGCCTTTAACAGTGGTTACCAGTGGTCTATAGCTCCCTTTATGGCCCCTCACTGCCATCTGTGCAGCCTGTGAGCAAGATCTTGAGTTTAGTTTCTGCCCTGGGGCACAGGCACCTCTTAGATCATCAGTAACCACTTATAGGTGGTTTGCACGTTACGTCATTGCCGCCATGTTGGTGGACGTAAACAATAGATATTTCATTAGCTCCTTTTGTTCGTCCACCAGCATTTGTTCCTTTCACTATTGTTATCTGTGTCTCTAGAGATTGGTTGCAAACCACCTATGAAAGTTATTGAACACTCTGATTGTTGCTCAAAATCTCTTAAATTTTGTTAACTTAGATGCCGACAGCATTAAAAGACTTGATACCAAACGCAAGCCCCGAAGCCATTCAACTTATGAGGGACATGTTAATGTGGGATCCCAAGAAGCGACCCACATGTGCACAGGCTCTGAGATACCCCTACTTTCAAGTTGGACAAAACCTACCTAAGGCCTCCCAACCAACACAACCTCTTCAACAGAGACAGCCACCTCAACCACAACAACAACAACAACAACAACAACAACAAGCCCAACAACAAAGACAAGCACCACAAATGGAAAGAAAGGATTCATTTAATTTTGGAAGTGGAAATGAGAACAAAAGGGCTGTTGTCAATGTACAAGGCCGTGCTGGCGGTTATGGGAGTGCTCGCAAGAGATGGGGCGATGGGACTGGGGTGAAAGATAGCGTAGATGAATTTGAATCACTGCTCAGTGAGATTGACACCAGTCATGCATCTGCCACAAAGAAGGTTGGTACAAATCATATCTTAACCCTATAATTCCCAAGATCTGATTGTTAATTCTCCCTTCTAGCTGTTACACATTTTCTTTTAAATTAGTCAGGAGAATTTGGTGTTAGATCAAGATAACTTCTGTGTGATAAGAGTAATTTTTCACTGGCTGAGTGGAATGAAATAAGTGAAAAATGTTTTTCTCATATGCCGCTGGGGCCTGGGTATAGGTCATGTGACCTATGGGGCAGGCAGTTGTTTTTGTTGCGTCCGCCATTGCTGACTTTCCTGCCCAGCCACCCAAAGATTTTAAATGTTTATACAATAGCAGTATAATGTACTAGCCTGGAACTCTTTTCGTTATTTCTAGTCTTAGTGTATGCTACTTGTATTAGCTTTGAATTTGCAGTACGGGTCAGGTTGCGGCGGTCAGCTTGACATGGCTACCAGCGGTGTGTGAGAAGTTAAAGTATTCTCATTACCTGTTTGTTAGGTAATGTATTGATATCACAGAGAGAAGTTACATGTTCATCAGTCAGCAGCTATGACTATTTGAGAGTTCTAAGCTCAGTTTTCAAGTCTAGAATAGGGTTTGATATACGCATTCATGTTGTCATTATATGTAAGCTTAGCAAATTGAATTTACTCTACAGCAGGTCTGAAATTAGACATCAATATTTGGTTGAGCACGTCAAGTTTAAAAATTTGCGAGGAGAGATTAAAAAATCTCACTCTGCAACTGAGAACCCAACCAGGGAAGGGGTGGCTGTATTTGAGGCTATTGGTAACCCACCTATGAGTACACCTACTGTTAAATTAACTTACACATATGTATTTGAGGAGAGTTCTCTTCTGTTGAGTCAATTTTAGACGGTACAGAACGTTGCACGTTGTAATTACCTTGCTCTTGTAGGTAGCTGTTCAGAAGACAGACCCCCTTGACTCTTTCTCAAGGTCAGTTCTTCGTGTTATTGTCGAAATTTGTGATATAATCAAACGCCTCTTTGTCTGCTTGAGAAAGTTCGCCCCGAGTGCCCGCCTACGGAGTTCAGCTTTTCGATTTACACTGTAAGAGTGTAGTTAAGCCCGCGTTAAACTTGGCCTTTCGTTTCTTTCTTCTTCTGCTCAACTTTGAACAATGAATTCAGCGGTCAAACTTTGGGTATGCGTTAATAGATAAATTTTGGCCGGACGTGCACCAATTTCCCGCGCAAAATCTTAAAGGAAACATAAGACAATTAACGGTTACGTAAATTTTGCGCCAAAAAAAAAAAAGAGAAAGAAGAATAGATAGCAGACTGAGGAAGCGAAAGGGTTAAGGCAAATTTTAATTTGTCTTTCTATCATTTCTCATTTCTCAGTGTCCGGAAGGATTCTGGTGTCGCTAAGAAGACCCCACCCAGTGCAAAACAGCATTATATGAAACAAGCAAGATATTTTCCTGGTCAAACGACATCCAATCAGCCCCGTATGCTTCATAATCCGGCGGCATCCACATACTCGAGGAAACCTTCCTACGGAATGGCGGGGAATGCCGTGGGAGGTACAACATACGTTCCATCCTTTGCCGGGGGTGGACAGACCAGAGCTGGAGGTGTAGGAGGTTCGTAATTTTTTAAGCCTGTGTGCAGCCCCACCCACCGCCGTCGCCTCCTGCTATCAAAACGAAAAAGCGGGATTGGGCGTCTGTACACAGGCCATATTTCTTCGGAAAATCACCCTCAGGGGTATATTCACTTAAAGTATTGATTACTGGTTGAGTTGTTTACTTATATTTTTATTCTCATTCATTTCTTTGTAGTTTTCAGTGCCTCTACGTGGAAGCCACCGCCGCTGACCAAGCAAGGAAGTGGCACATCTATTTACCAGCCCCCAGGGGCTACGGCGACCAACCGAACCCAACCGGCCCGCTACGGCGGAGTGCACAATCGAACGAACTGGAGTGTAAAGTGAGTTTTATATCTTTCCTAAACAGGCTCGTTAAGAATGCGAATGATTGGGCTTTTGTTCAGGAGACAAATATTTAATAGAGGGCATTTCGATGGAGGGTCGTCAAACCAATCACAGCTGACGCAAAGGGCAATCAAAATAAAGGAAAATATTGCAAACTGCCTTTAAACGCGGGAAAACGCGAGAGAGCAAAGCGCGTTTGGTTTTAGCTTTGATTGGTTGAAAGCATGGCGCGCGTTGTATTTTTAAACCAATCATAGTGCATGGTCTAGGGAACCCACGCCGCCATCTCTTTGTGACTCGACATAACGAGTATTTCCGCGCTTTGTAAAGCTCTGTGGTGGAGTTGTACAGTAAATGCAATAAAAAGTTTTATTTTCTCTACGTATTGGCATAAGATATTTTCATTTCTTCTTCATAGATATGGTGGAGGTCACACTTAGACGAAAAGTCAATAAGGACGTTTATTTACGTTTTGTGAACTCATGTTGGCGTTGAATTTGTAATATTTGACCTGATACGAAAGAATGTACCATTCTCGAACAGTTATATCATATTGATTAGCACCATTTCTTATATAAGTAGTAAATAAATGTGATATTGAATTGAGTAGGTACTGACGTTCGTTTTAACTATAGCGATTATTTTGTTTAAGGTTTTTAATAACGAAATTTGTTATCTAACTATTAAATGATTCCAAAAAGCCAACGTCCACTGTATGGTATAGATAGTACAATGAACTTTTAAACCCAAATGGTCTATTGTTCAAAATAGGTTGATCGATTGTAACTGGTGTCTAGTCAGAAATTTAGATGTTCTAGTCTAATGTAATATATCTGGGTGTTTAAAACTGTCTCGAAAACCTGTACCCACGATGTAAAGTGGAGGGTTTTTTCGAAGTCTTTGTCCTGAATTTTCATCAGTCTCTAACTTACGTAAGAGAACTGTAACATTAAATGAGCTTCTTTACATGTTATGAACTCATGTTGTAAAAATTTTACTGTGTGGCTTGGAATTACCAGGGAAAATCGACACATGATTTTTACACACCTGTATGTAAAGATAATTCGGTTTGTTTTATTTATTTATTTATTTAATTTTTAGCCAAACAGAATAGTGAATAAAGAATAAAACAAATTTAAATGGAAGTTTTGTTACAGCAGAGAGAGAGAGAGAGAGAGAGAGAGAGAGAGAGAGAGAGAGAGAGAGAGTGTTCAAGTTACTTGTGCTTCTGCCGTGCTGAACGTAATTGCAATAGGTTCGGCTATAGCACGACAGAAACGCGATGAAGACTTCGCAGTAGACTTCGGGTGGCGCGACTTAGCTTGTCGTGCTAACCGATTGTGGTGCGATGTCGGGTTCAATCATGCTAAATTTCAAACTTTATTTGTTGAGTTAGAGGCGACGGTAGTACGACGTTTTAACTGGGCCTGGGGGTTAAAACTTTAATGACGGGCCTCATTTTCATGGGCACATCAAAATTAAGCTCCTGAAAAAATTAGAGAAAAAATGTATTTCTCTTTCTATTATTATTATTGTTTTTTTTTTCGCAAAATGAGGACTTAGCTGATGATGAAACAGCGGAATCAGTCGCTTAAGCGATGGAAGAACATACAAAAGTACACAACTATGAATAATTTTTTAAGCTTTTTTTTTTTAAAAAAAAAAAAAAACTTAGGCGCTCAAAATTGAATCCTTGAACAACAACACTAGTAAAGGTGAAAATGAAAATGAATTAATGAAGTCTTTAAATTAACACCAACGTCGATAAAACACAAGCAAATAAATGAGAGGCTTTGATGCTATACATAAGTTTTTAACACCAAGCCATAAATTGCCCATTTAATTACTTCCTTTGGAATATATCGCAAAATTGTTTTTTATGTTGGCAACTGTTTTTCCGAGTTTAAACTACTGGTTTTACAGTAATCCAAATGGCTTCTTGAGAACTTTCAATAGGATAGTAACGGATGTTTTTGTTTTTCCCCCGTCTTCACCACTTATTCTTACATTTTTACCCACTTGCGAATGTTTGAGCCGAATTTTAAATTTTAAATTTCAAATTTGTTATCATAATGATGCATTTAACTTACTAAGTCAAAGTATTTTTGCTTTCTAACTCGAGGGAGAATGAGTTACTACATAGCCTCTCGAATCAACACGACGTTACCATGCCAACTTAGGCCAGGCTCTAGATAATAGAAAACACCTGTGTGGTTTTGGTCTTTTTCTTTTCCTGGCATTGAAATTAAATATACGTCAACTGTTCAGCTCACTATAGACATGTAAAATTTTCTCTCTCTTAGAATTCTTGAAAGCTCTCTACCAAAGAATTGTTTCCCATTAATGATTACCGTACTTTGTCATGCCGTCTCTTTTTCGCCAAAATCATCTTTGATTCTTTCAGTCGAATTAAGTATTTTGCAATTAAAATTCGGAAAGCACTAAGGAGACAGTTTTTCAGCATGGCACCTGCGAAGCCTGCTGTTAATTCCGGGCGGATAAAAAATTAATCTTTGATGCGTTGAAGTTTGATGGCTGACTGAGATCGTGTATCAGGGAACGTTATGTCCGCATAGTGTGTTTACGTTACATCAACATCAAGCGATGGCGCATTTGTATTCAGGGCGGCAGATTCCTGCCTCAAGGCCGGCAAAACAGGAAGCTGAATTCCAGTCTTATCCAAGAAGTTTCCCGCAATTCGATCTGAACAGTCGAGCGGTAAAGTTACCGCCAATTATAAAAAATGAACTTCTTGTTGGTCGAAGTATCGGACATCCATCACCAATTTCTACAGCATCAAATGCAAACGGGCATACATCTTTCCCGAAAATTTCCGAAACCACGAATGAAACAGTGCCACGGCGGCAGAAAACGAAGAGTCTTCGCGTTACAGTGAAACATGTAGAGAAAGCACCAACCAATTATCCGAATTCTTACAAAGTTCTTCCACCTATTGGACAGTCAAATGTGTGGCGACCATACAACAAAGTATCTTCTACCAGGAGTATCCTAAACGCTCCAAAATCCAACCAAGACAAAATAAATGGTCAAAGGAGAAGCTCGTCACAAAGAAAATGCTCTGACAACGGACTGTCTCCTTCACCGAAAACTAGATTCGCTGAAAACCAACGGATTTATGCGAGAAATGACGCTTCAAGACAAGAAGATGGTAACAGACAGCAAAGAACGTTCGAGAGTCGAATCGAACGGCCCCCTATGAAAACGTTTGATACAGTTCCTGAACAACAAGACGATCATTTTAATCACGAATTCGGGGAGAAATTGCCGAGCGTTTCTAACGAGGATGTCGAAGTTACACCGTGTGAGGGTGTCCATGAGTTGGAAAAACTAGAAGTGAGCAAAGACGTTGTCGAGTTTCTGGCAAGTAAGCAAAGTGCGCGAAGAGTTGCACTGTGTGTCGAGATTGATCCATCGTTGAAAAAAGCTGTCGATATCATTCGAGATAATTTACTACGTCAAACAATGGAGGAACTGTGCATGTTATGGTGAAAATTTTCTTGAGCCAATATAATTGTAGATAAATTAACCAGCGGGAATTCTGGTGTTGGATTGACGAGGTTAAATGGGTGAGTTTTTTTTAGAAATTAAAAAATAAATAAAATTTAAAAAAACTTAGTTCAGTTTTGCTATCAATTGACTTTTATAATAACATTTAGCTTTTTTATTTGTGTGAAGGATGATTCTTGGTCATTTTCCATAAAATGTTTACACATTTACCTCCGATTCACTACATTTCAGCTGTAACAGCAACTCATGGCAAACATAAGGTGTAAAACTAATGAGATATAAGTCGAAAATTTATGTGATCTATGGGTGGGAGAAAACACATAATCAGGTTTAAAAAGATCTGCGCTATTTGTAATCACAAGTGATTTCGTCAGTTGGAGAAGTTCGACACGGTTAAAGTTCAGAATCGATTTTATAATACAATAATGTGTTTGGTAGGTAGTTACTTCTTTATAATTTAAGATAGGTTAACAAGGATTAAAAATTTAAAGCAAGATAAAACGAAAGAAACATCAGAAAGCTAGTATTTAACTGGTCTTGATTTTTCTCCATAAATTTACCTTCACTAAGAATGACCGAAAATCATGAATTATTCACCCTTAAACCGCGTCAATTTTGTTTTATTTCGAACCATTTATACTAAAAATACTGAAACCAAAAATTAGACACAAATCCTACATTTCTAATATTATATCGATCCTCTCTGAAATCAAGTTATGGGGAAAAATTTTATGCTATTTTACTTATTGAATTTCAAACGTAAACATTTTAATGAAAATCATGACAAGTTGAAAATAAGACAATAGGAAAAAATCCATTTAAATTTTTAACCTGCGGCATTAATATCTCTTTGTCAATTCTGACGCAAACCATTTAACTTGGGTCCATTGACGTATCGACGCGTCAAGTTGTAGATTTGCAGACCATTTGCTAAATTTGATTTAATTTTTAATCAATTTGCTTCGATATCAATGCAGCGTTACGCTTCTAGAGCCTAGAAGGACCACACATTTCTAACTCGAAATGTTTCTATTTTAAAATGTCAGTTCTTATATTAAAAACTAAACAATCTCTAGTCTGAGAATCAGAGTTTTCAAATGTTAGTTCTAACAAGTACATTTTCAGATTGGGAATCGAAGTTTCCTAAGGTGCAGACCGAATAAAACATTTACACACTTGTAATTTGCAATAATCAGAGCACATCTGATCGTTACAGTTTCCTTTTTTTTCAAAGGCCAGTTCTTATGTTGAAAAGTTAGCCTTATATTTCTCGGTTAT